CAGTAACAAATAACATAAAGAAAACAATATATAAGTTGCCATATAACAAAATCACTGAAAAGGAACGGGCAGCCCTAGACATGCTGACACATAGATGAACTAATCATTTCACAGGCTGACAAAGGTGGTGCCATAGCAATCCGGAGCATCAAAGAATACCTTAAAGAGGCCAACAACCAACAAGCTGACAAAAATACCTAAAAAAAGCCTATTCACAGACCCACTCTCTAAATACCAAAAAAAAACTTAACACGCTCGTTAAACAGGATACTTCAAAATAAACTAATTGACAAAGGAACAGGCACAACACTTACACTCATAGGCATCACACCTGCTTACTTCTATCACCTGCCCAAAATAAACAAAATTAACAACCCAGGAAGGCCAGTCATTCCGTCACTTAACTGCTACACAACTAAAATATCAAAATATGTAGATCACTATATACAACCCCTAGCTAAGAAAGTCAAATCCTGCATGACACACAACAGACCTACTAAACAGAATTAAACATATACAAACATTACCAGAAAATGCAATTCTAGTAACCATGGACATCGGGTCACTATTCAAACACAACTAACCACCCCTACAGAAGCACTTACTAAAAGAATAAAACAAACTCCCCCAAAGTAATCATCAAACTTATGGAACGCATCCTCATATTGAATAGTTTAGATTACAATGGAAGACACTACCTAAAAGTAAAAGGATGTGCCATAGGCACTGTTACAGCTCCATTATATGCCATAATCTTGATGGGCAAATTTGAGGAGACCCATATTTATCCTTTCATTTGTAACAACTGTATATTCTATGCAAGATATATCAATATCTTCTTCATATAAACAGGCAATGAGGAAAAACTTACTGAATTCCTTATTCCAGTACACGACTCTATTAGGTTCAACCACAAAAAATCAACACTATTGGTAACATTTCTAGCCACCCGCATTTATATCGATAAAAAAAGAAAATTATAAGTGACACTACACACTAAAATCACCAACACTCACAATTATCTTCACTTTGTCTTCCCATTCAAAACACCTCAAGGAGAACCTTCCGTATTCACAAGCACTTAGACTCAGAAGGATGTGTTCCAACAATGAAGAACTAACTAAACACAATAAAAATCTCTAGTAACAATTCACATGTGATTATAAACAACACTTGATCAGGGAACAAATAAAGCAGTTTCCACACTTAGAGAATACACCCTAAAGCATAAAATTAAAAAATAAATCCAAACACATCCCTCTAGTAACTACTTTCAATACTACTCTATCTCCACTATCTCAGATAATCAAGTCACTGGTAAATACTATATCTCAAACCAGACCTAAAAACTTTATTTTAGGAATCTGGCCTTTTAGCATATCACAGACCAAAGAACCTTGAGGAAATCATATTTGATAACCAAATTTCAGACAGTAAAGTAGCATGTAATAAGCCAAGAATAAAATCAATAGGATTTTCCCAACCCTGTAACAACAAAAGGAGCCTATGTTGTAACCACATTAAACACACCAATTTGTTCACTAGCTCAGTCACTAAATCTACTTTCAAAATCTCCCACAACTCTAACTATAGAAGTCCTAACATAATTTACTTAGAATGCACACTATGTCAGAAACAATATGTGGGAAAATCTGAATTGCCCTTTCACTACAGAATTAATAATTATTGGAATCAGATTAACTCGGCTCTCCACAAAAATTTATTGCCTGTAGAACATTTCCACCTAGAAAAACATGATTTTAATAGCCATGCAAAATTCACTATTTTTGAAAGAATAGAAATATACAAAAGATAAACTTAGGAAAATATTAGAACATGAAGACAAATGGATTTTGTGCCTCAAAACACTTCGTCTAGATAGATTTAACAGCAAACTAAACAGCACAGATGGAATTAATATATAACATCATAGATCACCCCCCTTCTCTTTTACATATTATAATCTCTGCATAGTTGAATATGCTCTACTGTTACTACATAGAAGAGTACACCACCCACAAAAGGCCCAAGCTGATTCCCCTAACCTCTCTCTCATCCTCATCCACACCAGACAGACATACTTGCAGAGGTGATGAGGTTTCCCACATACACACAAATATATACACACATCACATATCACACACTCAACAAAAAAAAAAAAAAAAACATACACATAACATGCATATACTCTTTCCAGCAGTCAAAGTTACCAGAATGACTGAGGAGGTAAATCTGTGACTCATGAGTTCTTCAACCTCTCCTTAAAAGAACTTGAAAAGCACCTTTGACCAATACGAGGACTGACCAAAAATTAACAATAAAAATACAAAATGAAAACTACAGGTAAAGTTCACCTTCTTCAGAGACATTCACCCCCTGTAATTCACTGCTACTAACTAGCAGGAATTTTTTCTCCTGATGATGGCCATGCTGGCTGAAACTAGTTGTCGATCCTAATTTAAAAAAAATAAAACAAAAATATTAATATACAACCCAGTGTGTCTGAAATTTTTATATTTTTTTTTTTATTGTTCAAGACACACATTTTTATTGTTCAAGTCACACACACACATTTATCTATATCTTTTTCTTTGCAGAAGTCAGTATAGCCACTTTAAAGCAAGTTGTACTTACCAAAGGCTCTAGAGTTCCCACACTGAATTCAGTCATTCCCTACTTAGACCTGACATCAAATCAAGAATACTTAGTAAAGAGAATATCTGGTAAGTCTTATTTTATTTAATAATTGCACTTCAACTCGCCATTGACTTTTGTTGACCTACCAATCACATTGAAAATCTCTTCTCATAAAATTACATGTAATTTTCTTTAATATCGGATTTTTATGTACATATTTTAGGCAGTTTTTCTTGTATTAAACTCAAAAGAATTAAGATTTACACAAACCTATTTTTGTTTATAAAAAAAGCTATGTTCCTTTGCCATAGGTGAAAAATTTATAAAGTGAGATTGATGTCTCCTTTTTTATTAATGTCATAATTTCTTTTTTGTATCCTTCAATTACGTTACTGCTAAAAGATAATTGATGATTTTGGAAACTATTTAACATTTAGTATAGGTGTAAAAGAATTAGTAACCACCAATTTTGCAGCAAGACACTTTATGTGGTTGTTATGCTATTTCACATGTTTGGGCAGTCTTGTAACTTTTTTGCACCATGGTTGAGTGCTCAATATGGCGTCTTGTTGATCTCAATCAAAAAAATGTATGGCACAGACAGGTAAAATGGAGACAGTTGGTTATCAAAGTCTTAGTGTTTAACCTAGTCACATTTACATTTCTTGCCCCTACTAAAGGCACAATAATGCCACAATTTCTTGAAGTCCTAATGCATCCCATAGTTACATAGGGGTGAGGGAATAAAAACAATTATGTACACAGGGTTTGTACAGGTCCTGGAATTTTCTAAATTGGGTTGCCTGTGCATCCTTTTTCTCAGTTCATGAAACTCAGAATGCCAAATCCCAGAAGTCTGGCTTTTTTTACAATTAAATTTGTCCTTTAAGAAAAATGTTTTTTAATCATCAGTAATATTTGGCAATTGCGGATGGTGGTTTGTTTTGTTGATTAGAACAAGTTCATGACCTCACAGTTACTACTTATTTTCTCGTCTAGGTGATGAGAAAGAATATTATGGTCTGTCTTCTAGCTGCTACCCTCGTTCAACAAGAAAAGAGGAAAAGCAAAGATAAAAGGTGTCGGACAAGTAAACCTTTCCATCAGAGATAAATTAATTCACACTCATTGACTCTGTACTTGAAAGGAAAATAATAAATTATTTTACAGTAATAAAATTTTTTTTATTAAAACAATTGAAGAAATTTTATTCATATGTCAATTTCAAAAATAAAAAAAACCTTTTGGTCTCTAATCCACTGGTGGGTGAGTTCATGCTGAAAAATTAGATACTTTACACGTCCTGTGTCAATGTGTGTAAACTACGTTTGTCTAAATTGTTACCAAAAGTAACAAGAAGTTTGAAAATCAAATTTAATGTTTCAGCCATTGTGCATTCCAGCCTTTTTCAAGTGGTTGGAATGTCAAACTTAACCCTTTATTTCACTCGCTGGGGTAAACTGTTCTAGTTCCATGTGCCATGTCTAATGGATGTCAGTTATCAGTTATTTCCTGTTAATTCTCCTCTCCAAGTTCTCCACCGCCTTAACCAGGTATTGAACTCACACTCTTTGGGTCCTGTCACTGGATCAAACTAATGCCTTTGTCCACTGTGCCAGAAATTCATACACAGTCTACTGGATAAAAGCGTTAGTTAGATCCAGTGTTGGACATTGTCTTTGTTGCAACAGCAACTATCAATAAGCTTAGAAAAGAACAGACTCCTTCAACATGGTATCTTCATAGCTGCTTGCAATAAGAGCGATGTTTTGAACATTTATGTAATACCAATTGGAAAGGAAATCATGATGTGCTTCTTGATTTCCAAACATGGAATTTCTTGAACTGATGCAAACATAAATTTACTATCCCCCCCCAGTTATGTAATCATGTAAAAGAATTAACAATAATATCTAGAAAAATATAACCATACAAAAATTTATAAACATAAAATCAGTCTGACAAGTTCGATGTCAGATAATGTAGTTGGTATAAATCAAGTCAAATATTTGCCTCACAACACAGTACCTTCTTCACTCACAAACAGCTAAGCAATCCTGTAGTCCAGATTAGCGTTCTTTTATTAGGGTAAGAAAGGCTGTGTTTGGTCGAGACTGGTAGGCAAGTGAAAACAATTACCATATTTTGAGGCTTACTATAGTCGACCTGATCTTGATTTTTTTTAAATTTTTTTTTTTTTTTTTTTTTTTATTTACAAATAGCATAAAGAACACAAATTCATTTTTGAGGCAAGACTTGATTTTTCTCCATTGCCACTTGTTAAATCAGTTTTGTATTTTTAGATTTGGGTAAAGATGGCTGCATGAGTGAGTTTTCTTGGAACCGAGGTGGATGTTATGGAAAGGAATGGGGTGAACACCTTCCAAATGATGCTTCAGTGAGTACATTTTAACTCACTTTTTCAGAATCGTTTTTGTGTATACAGTTATGAACACTTTAATGTTCAGTTTTGTGAAACAAATCACATCCAATTAATACACAATTTCTTGCTAATAAATTATTGCTTGATTCCATAAAATGGTTTTGTCGATGAATTCTATGCTGCTATTTCTCTCTCTGAAAATCATTAAAATGTTATTTCCATTTCAGCTAGTAATGCATTTATTTAGTACTTACATGGACTCTAGGTTGCCTGTGCATCCCAAATATCCTGACCAGAGAACATTTACGAGTCAGTATGTAATGAAAACTCCAAACAAGCCAGGTAAGAATCATTTTAGATTGTTTGAGAATCAATGTCTAGTTTTCAATTATTTTTCTCTTTTCTTTAAACCTTTTGCTATAATCCTCTGATTATCTTTCACCTTAATTATTATATACAGTGTACAATTTATTTATCAAACATCTGGCTCTGATGAGCATTTCAATGCAAAACTCTTGTTCATCAGTTAATTGAACTTTTGATTTATTGAATAATGTTATGTCATTTTACCATTTTTTTTTTTTTTTTTTTTTTTTTTTTTAAAATTGTTAAAATTCTGTATGTGTATTTCCCACCATATAACTGTATTTTGAAAAACTAATAATATTGAACTGACAGCTCATTTTTTATAATTTTTACATTAAATTATTTAGAATTCTACAATTATAATTCTGGGGTCATCAGAGGGTTAGTGTGCTAGCAAGTATTCAGCTGGTAACTTCTGCCATCAACATGTAGGGAGATTCTTTTGGTGGGTAGAGCACCTTATGTGCTGGAAAATACATTGCATAATAGTGCTTAATAATAATTCCTATTCTTTAAATTTTGTGATGAAATAAAACTGCAGTAAATATTCTAAAAACTTGTATACTCTGGAAATTTACATTTTAAAAAAAAAAAAAAAAAAAAACTGGATAAAGTTATAGAACAAAACTATTTTTCAAAATATGTAGCATGCAAAATAATCAGCAGACTAATGAATTTTTGTTTATATTGTAAGATTTCATAGGGACAGTTTATTTATTTATTTATTTATTTTTTTTTAAGTCAATGAAATTTTGCAGTATAAACAAAAAATTTGTCTGCTGCATCTTGCAAAAGTTAATTGATCTGATTTTTAAAATTCATCTTCCAAAATGAACTAAATGTTCATAAATTAGCATAGTTTGATCTGAAATTTTTTACTTTCAGATTTAAACAAAAAGGATAATTTATATATTTACCAGACCAGTATAAATCCTCCTCACTTCCAGGTGATTATTGGTGAACATGTTTGGAATTTGCCAAAAGTAAGTAACAAAAAACACCAAAGGTTTTCATGTAAATAAATGATAAAATTAACATAAATTTATTTTAAGATTTAAAAGAAAAAAAAAATTCTGACAATTTCAATAACTTTACATTTTTTTTTTTTTCTCTCCCTTTTCTCTAGGGAAGAAACAACATGTTTCAAGCTTTATTAATGTTTCTGTATCATATAAAAACAAAGGAGCATGGAATGTTGGGGTAAGTATAAAATTATTAATAGCAAAATATGGAAAACATTAGTTTCACCTGTCAAAGATCTTATTTTTTATTTTTTAACAAAGTAATTAATCTTATTGAGATATTTAACATATTTTCTTACTCTGAAAGTAGAGGGATTTGTTCACTGTAGATTGCTTAAATTTAAAAAAAAAAAATCTAAATAATTGGTTAAAATTGCTAGCTATACGTATTTGAGTAAAGTCTCGAGCTAATTTTTATTCCTTTTTATTTTCAGCCGAGTCAACTTAGGCTTGTCTGGTGTTAACATTTTATGGATTCTGAACTGAATTTAACATACATCATCTTACTATGAAGCAAAAAGAAAAGTGAACTTTGAATTGTTTTTTTTTTTTTTTGCTTTTCATATTTGAGGAAAATTTATTGAAGTCAAAAAAAAAAAAAAATTGCATATGCAACAAAATTAGATTGTTGCTAAAAATTAAAAACTGATTAAAAAGAAAAGGACTCCTGATATGATCATCTTGTCAACAATACTGCTGTAATAATGTTCAAGAAGCATTCTCTACAACATCTGAAAATTTTCAGTGAAGGCAAAAAATGTGAACAGGCTGTGAAAATCAACTGCATTTTCATATAGCAATCAATTAACTATTCTCATAGTTTTTTTTTTTTTTTTTTTTTAATGTATATTGTGTAAAGAAGAAATATTCATGTGAAATATATAAAAGCTTTTAATTTTTTGATGAAATATATATTAAAAAAAAATTTTTTTTTTTTTTTTTTTAAAAGCTTTTTTTAATCAATACTAAAACTCTTCTCCCCACGCAACACACAATTTGGATTAATGTGCCAGTCTAATGCAAAACTTTGTTAGCATATCTTTACTTACACCAAATGTGGTTGTATTGACTTTGTGCAAGTGTTCCCAACCATCTGATTTTTTTTTTTTTTAAGGAATCTGGTTTCTGAGCAGTCAGCATTGGGCTTATAAATACTAAGCTAACAAAGTTTTTACATATATAATCTCAAGGCTTTTTAGTTCCATGCCAGTAGTTAGACCAAGTAGCTGATATATGAACATGGTTTTAACTGTTACAGAGGGAGACTATCTCATCTGAAAGAAATTATAATGGTTGCAATATGTATACAGAACTCTGGTTTAATTACATTACGTTTTGGCAAATTACTCCCATTATTTCTTTATTCAATGTAATTTGCTTTTCAAAACTAGTTGTGCATGATAGATTATCTAATATGCCCTACCTGTGAGTCGTCTTTTGGCAAGAATTTTTATCCATTTAAAATCAAAATTGTAATATCAGACTTCAAAAATACTGTTCAATCTTAAAAATCTGCAAAAAAACAAAAAAAAATTTGAATGAGGGATTAATTATCAGCCTTTGTCTTGCTGTTACTTGAACTACTGAGTGAGGTGAAATGTTTCAAGGCATGGGCCAGTGTCTGCATAGTCAGTTCATTTCTTGGACAGTTTGGATTGAATAATTTTATTAGTTAATTATGTTTATATTACCAAAAGTATAAAGCATTCATCTGTGTGAATTCCCAGCAATGTCCATTTCTCCAAATCCTTCTTGGACAGAACTTTTCAGTACCAAACTAGCACAAATGGAGCCCTCAAATACCCCTACATGATACATGCCTGGGTACTCTTCTCTCTCTTGGTTCATTACTAAGCAGATTTTCCACAATATGCTGCTATTTCTTTCTGTAGTTAACAACCAAGGCTATAGGAACCAGTGTGGCCTGCTATTCAATCCATAGTTCAAAGGAGAAGAATTCATACCTTTCCCAAGGGTATTTGCACATAAGAACCTGGCTGGAAGTTGAGTTCTGCTCCAATTTCTCATTCTGAGCCATTATGCCACACTGACCTCCACATTCCTTCAATTCAATACTGATATTTTTTTTGTGCTATATTCAAACATTCACTGATTCAGGCACAATTCTAAGCCAAATGTCATTATACTCCCGTTTCAGCTATTGACCCCTTCAACTGTCTTCAGGTTTTGTGATTTCCTTTTTAGTAATTAACGAAAATTAACCACAGCAGTGATAGATTTTAATCTTTGCAATCTATAAAACGAAATGACAAAAAAAAAAAAAAAATTTTTGCTTTCTATGCCTTGTTTTGTCCTAATGTCTTGCATGCCAAATAGGTCCTTATCTTTACACAAAAATTTTTACAAGAGGAGAAAAAAAAACAAAACAAAGTATTAAAACATTGAAAAAGCAGAAGTCATAATTCACAATCTCACAAAACCCAAAGCCTGGAGAGTATAACAACACTAAGCATGTCACAAAAAAAAACATCTAAATCTAACACATAAAAATAAGGATGGGGAAAGTTGACTGTCATCAGTTTCTTTTATTGTATACTTAAAACAAGATGGACCCAAATAATGTCAACAATAAAATTGTAATAATTTACATTGATGCACTACAAGGTAACTAACATCATCAGGTTTGCTTTCTCTCTCGACATTGAAATAAAATTTGCCTCTTGTTAATCAAATATTGATTAATAATTTGATTAATTGCCTGATGGGGATAGTTAAATATGCTATCACTAAAATATCCATAGGCAACAAATCAAAAAAAAGGGGGGGGGACCTGCCTACACTGAGATTAAGAGAGTAGGGAAGCAACCAACTCCAGTAGCCAGTTTAACAAAGATATTAAGTTAAATAAAAAATGGCTGAGTGATCCAGCTGACAGAGGCACAGTTTAAAAACCAGAAATAACTTCATCCAGCCTAACAACTCAATCACCAATAGCTCCTGTAAGGTTTGTTTTAAGTTTAAGGCAGTTTTTTTTTTAAGTACACATGGCATAATCATAATACAAGTTATGTTTCTAAGTCAGTTGTGCTTTAATCCCAAACAATATTTCTATGCAAGTAAAAGCAGCAGGTATTATTTTTTTTTTTCCATTGAATTCAGTAAACCTTAGTACATTTCAGGTTGAAAGATAACATTAATATATCCTTCTCAAATTTGTCAATTTTGGTTTAAAGGAAGTTGGTCATAGTTGAAAGCTTTTTTTAGGTATTTTACTATTACACCTGTCTCATCCCAGACTATTATTTTATTCTCTTTAAATAATCAACTGGCCAGTAACTGAAGAGTAAAATCAATCATGCACATTGTGTCAACAAGGGAGACAGGTGTAATGGTAAGAATGTACCACTTTTCTTTTATAAACACCCTGAATGTAACTAAAGTTTAAAAAAAAAAAAAATAAAGAAATCTTACTCTATATGACAATTACAAACTGATCTATATTTTCACCTGTACATTAGGGAGTTGAGTGACTAGGATGAAAATTTTTATTTTGCCACAAGGAATTCAAAGTAGGCTGCAAGTTCAGTGTCTTGTTCATTAGACATGAGCTTTGGCACATCCTCACTTAAAAATGCAATTATGAATCTTCAAAGCTTTCTTTTTGTTGTTGAAAAGAAAATAGTTTAAAGTTTACAAGTGTAGATTGTAATTAAAAAAAAAAAAAAAGTATGACCAGTGACATTAACCTACTGCAGCTGTATTAAGGCTTTACAGGAGGAATTTAACTTTAGTATTACTCCAAGAAAATTATTTGTCACTATGTTTGAAATTGAACTAGGCATTACATGACTTAAAATCTTTATGGGCCTTCACATGTTAAATTGAAATCTTAATGTGACTTTTTGTTACCATTAAATACCTTTCAAAAAAAGATAAATTAAAACAATTTTTAATGACTTGTTAAATATACTTGAATGTTTGACATTACATAAGACATTTTTACAGTTGGGGGCTGGGATAAGCTTTCCTCTTTTCACAGATTAAAAGCCTGAAGTATAATTAAGCAAATAAGACTAAAAAATTGGCAAATAGAACAATATTTTACTTTATTTTCCAGTTTTTACATTTTCAAAAGATCTTTGGACAGCTTGCTATTATTTTTAATTTTTTTATTTTTTTTTTAAACTAAAACTACAAATTTGGGGAAGGAATTCTTTTTAGTATATAATGATAAATATTGACTTATTTCATCAAATCGATAGGACAGTATATTCACGCAAAAGCAAAAAAATTATGCCTAAGTCATTTTTAGAAGGGAATGTTTATTAATAAATTAATTTCATTAAGTACAGACTTTTTTCCAGTTGAGAGGCATTAGATTGTTAAAGTTTTTTTGTTTTTTAAACATTACACATTCTTTCTCTTTTCTTGCTAATGGCAGGACAATTTTAATTTCATTTTTATATACACTTGGGATGTATTTTCTCTCCTGTGTATTGTTTGGCATTATTTTCCCATGCTCAGTGTAGGTGATACCTTGAACATTTCATAATTGATTCAAATTTAAAACTTTCAATTTTGTTAACTTCACATTTAACTTGCATTTTTTTGTGTGTGTGTGTACGTTCTACACTGAGAAAAAAAAAAATACATGAAATAAGATTTTAAAAATTAACCTTTTTTTTTTTTTCAAAAAAAAAAAAAAAAAAAAATTGAAATATGAACTATATATTAGATGGAAAAGGCATTTTAACACTATGATAAAAAAATTTAAATACAATACTGTTTACAATATTTTTTTTTATGAAAATTAAATGACTTAGAAAAAAAAATTAGTTTAAAAAATTTAATAAATAATGATAGGCTGCATAGTCATTGCTTCCTAAATGGAAGCGACTAGTTTTCCTCCCAACCCATATCCCCCACACACTAACCCACATTGATGGTTTTTAAAGAGATTCAGACAAGTTTGCATATGCACACATTTGAATGTATCAACAATCTTGTTTGGTAAGGTAAAGTCTTTTTGGTTAGTTTTAGTTAGGAAAGATCTTCATCCATTGTGTTTTCATCACTATCTCCTAAAGTAGTGGCTTCATCAGTTGTAAATGATTTGAGGCTTTGTGATGACCGAGATTTTAAGCACGCTTGAGCATTCCCACGCCGTAGTCTGAAAAGAGAAGGAGAAAAATAAAAATGATGTCGAAAAAAAAAGATGCCCGACTGTCTTATGCTAAAATACTATTTAAAATGTATGATACTGTATATTCACTCAATTATGATGCACAACTTCAAACTAATTTCTATGGTGGGTTATCCCAAAATTTTACCCTTAATGCAACAGGATGCAATCTAAAAAAAGTGTTCACCAGGCTTAAATTTTGAGTTTCAGGACACGAGGAGATGACTTTCTTTTCCTATAAGAGAAAGGATGTTATCTTTACTTCTATACAAGTATTGTGTTTCTGGGCTTTTCTAAAGAAAAGCAAAATTTACTGAACACTGCAGCTGCAGAAGGTTAACAGATCATCTTCACTCAGTCACTAACTAAATTACCTTATCATATTTGTTCTCTGCACAAATCTCAAACTTTTTCTCTTCAAGTTCAAAAAATATCACTTCTGGAAAAAATGAAATCAACAGTTAACCTTGTAAAGTAACTAAGAAATAACACTATTCTTTGAAGCTGTGTCATATCAAGTTAGTAATGTGTGTAAAAACCACTGCTTTACAAGTGAAATAAAAAAAAAAAAAATCTTATTGCATTTCTAGAATAAAATAGTTTTGAGAGCATAGTTACTACATAAAATCTGGTTTTCACTTTCAATTAAAAAAAAAAAAAAAAATTTTAGGTTTGCACAAGGTCCAACTTCATTTTTTTTTTCATTAGTGATTTCAGTAAGAATTTTTTTTTTTTTTCATTACCTGCTTTGAAGGTGTTCCACTTGAACCTGCAAGTTACCCACTTGTTCTTCGTACTCTTCATTGGTACGTTGTAATTTTCTTACGTTGTTAGCTTGTAGGTCAGCCTGCAAAACAGACCTTGTCAAATAAGTTCAACTGAATATCAAAATTTTTATTTTTCTTAATGTGTTTTTGACAATTTTTTTCTTTTTTTTTTTTTTTTTTAGCCATTTTTCTTACATTAAGTGAAATTTTTATTTAGTTTACTATGGAAATTAATTTTTCTAATAATGTATAATTCTTAAGGCATACACCTACAACTTGCTGATGTAATGAATTCCTCTTGATAAAACCTTCAGAGTCATGGCTACAGTGATATTGTTTTTCTTTTCCTTCAGGAGTAAAGATAGATATAAACATGTTATAGCAATGAATAACTTGTAGAAAAATAAATATTACATAACCCATCTTTGACCAGGTCTTTCATTATTTGCCATTCAATTGTAGTAGTTTAAAGTCAGCCCACCTGAAAATCTATTAGTAAACAACATTTGGGTGCAATTGAAGCACATCCTCAAATGGGGGGGGGGGTTTGACCCTGAAAAGGGAACTGTATAATAATAATTATTGTAATAATTTAAGCTATTTTTAAAGTTTTTATGAAATATATATATATATATATATATATCCAAGAACAGATAGTAAAATATTGCTGAGAGTTATAGTGGACAGGAAGTAGTGAAGTGCCATTGTCAAACAATTTGGACTCAAAACTGGCACTGAAGGATTATCTATCAAGCAAAAAAAAAATATTTCATCAAAATTGGATGAAAACTGAAAATGCATAAACAACATCCGATCACACACACTTTGAGAGTTATAGATATACAAGATACTTGTGATGAACAAATATGATTTGTATAAACAAGTAAAAAGATTATTAATCCTTCAGAATCATTTACACACAAGAGGGATGTGGACTTTTTGGCTTTCTACCCTGAAATTTGAAAGCTATCACTGACAAAAATCAATGATTTCCAAAGAAAAGATCAAAATCACTCACCCTTTACAGAAAATCTCATTTATGACTGGTTAATAATATGGAACCAGGTTTTGATTTTTTTTTTTTTTATAATTTAAAATTTAAATAGGGTTTCTCTAAACATAGCACCTTGTCTGACCCACTTTACCCAAATTTATTTTCTATTTGCTTACTGGAGCTGTTTGTGATTTATTTAATGTAACCACAAAGTCCAAGTCTAGATTTGAGGGACGTTGTTGATAACTTGCATAGTTTTTCTAAGATTATATTCATGGATTCTTTTATTTTGAGAGGTGGGTGCTTTGCAGAAGAAAAAAAAAACAATGACAAGGATTATATCAAAACAACCCTCCAAATTCTACTGTATAAACAAATTTGAAAGTAGATGAAATCACATCGAGAAACTACTCAATGCTCTGCCATGAATAAATGTCCTGATGCCAGTTTGATAATTAAAAAGAAAACAGCACATACCTCATCTTCAGCAGAGGCCAGGTCTCGTTTTAATTCCTCAATTCGAGATCTTAATTTCTTGACTTCTAACTCGTATTGTTCAGCTCGGCGTCGCGTGTGGTCAAGTTCTGTATGCTTCTCAAGGTGGATTTTTTTCAATTTGGCATGAGCATGCCGCAGTTCACTAAGTTCCTAAATGGACAAGAAATTGCAGAAAATGTTCAATAAACTTTTTTTTCTTTTTTTTTAAAATCAGTTTATGTCTTAACATTCTAAAATTTAAAATAAGATGTTACTCAAAACTGAACATGGTTAAATCAAATACAGTCACAATTTCTGGTGGCATTGATCACAGAAAATTAACCACAGGCAGCAAGAGTAAACTAATGCTTCCCAAAGGAAGCATGTCTTAGTCAAAAAAAAAAAAAAAGGTTGTGCATCAGTTTTTGGTAAGGATTAGCAGGCGTTAAGTTTCTTTTTTCTTTGACTAAGAAAGATTTAGTTTTTACCACACACTTCCTTCCTTGGTCATGATTTGTTTTTTTTTAGATATTCCAACATTTAATGTTTTTAATATTTATGATAACAGTAAAGCAGCATTGGAAAAGATGTCTGCTTTTTCAGTCTTGTGTGCCCCAGTGACTCACATTGAAATATGAAATTGGATTTTCTCAACTTCTCCTTCACACACGCTTTCTTCAAATGATGAGTGGGGCTCTTTGCATACCCTACTTACCAATTTCCATCACTGACACAGGATTATTAGAAGGGTTTCTTCACTTCACTAAACATAAATCTGATTCAACCCTGGTCTGGATGAAACCAATAAATAGAATTTTCAGTGTGAGATAGAAAAAGATTATATATATATATATATGATAGAGAATCCTTTTCTTTTTCTCCATAGAGAAAAAGGGGCTAATTTGATAAATTCCGATAAGCACAAGTTTATTTTGGAAACTTCTCACAGACCACAGTAAGTTGCTTCCTGGTCTGCAGGCTGTTTTTTTTTCGTACAGGCCTGATATGGTGTTCAGTCGGCAACACCACATCAGGGGAGTAGAGCCGTGACAAATTGGCTATAAATGAAAGAACATTTTGAAATGATTTCAGAAACATTAAAGCAAGTGTCCACAGTAGCATAATAATGGAGCATAGATTTTAAAATTTCAAAAAATTTTTTTTCTTTTTAATATAGAAAAATAAAACAAATTTCCAGATAATTGAAGCTAAATACAAAATTTATATCTTAAAATTTTAGTTGGCTTGGTGGGAAAAAAAAAAAAAACTTACAAAACAAACAAACAAGTACATAGCCTATAAAAGAATAGACCAAAAGCCACTTGAAGAGCACACACAGCCAGCACACTGAGGGCATTCACTTATTCGGCCACCCACACAAAGACTCGCTCACATTCTCTCTCAGGCACTCATACCATACAGAGATCAACACAAGCGAAATCAAATACTTGCTCATAAAAAGAAACTTAAGCATATATTCACATTAATACACTTGTGTATACAGAGATTTATTCTCAAGATTCAAAATTTTATTCCTCAAGACTTTATGACCTCTTTAATCTTTCAAAGATCTCCTTTTCTCTCACTTACTATCGCCGTTGTTATGAAATTGTTGTAATCAAATCAGTTTGCCAATGTTGTTTTATTCCTTGTTTTGGGCATGCAAAGGTTCATTGGCTCTTTCTTTCTCTCACTTGCTGTCAGCAAAAGCATGACCTTCCTTTTCCCCTGCAGGGATTAAAAGTAAACTCCTTCACTCAACAGTTGAAACAAGACCAACAACATCAGCAGTAGCCCATGCAACACATCATTACTAGGTTTTCTAGTTACAGCAAACAGTTCCACTCTTGATGAGGATCCATGCTTTGAATGTCTGCTGCTTAAGTGCAACTCCTATACAATACATTGCTAAATATTGCTCAATTAAATATACGACTCCTTCTGTCATGCTTTGTCATTGCAAGAATCAGATTAAGCAAAAAATAGAGTAGTGCTGCCATATCTAGACTGGAGCTTCTCAATTTTCACTTTCTAGCTTTGGTAGAGTTCACAGACATTTCTGTCTTCCACTCTGCAACCTCTTTCTCACAGATGTAATGTTGCAAACCTATTTTCTATGACAAAATGTTCAAATGTGCTTCATTCATTAGTTTCACCAGTTCAGGCCTTTACAACTAGGACATGCTATGACTCTTCTACAGAATTAAATCACTCTTATTTCCTCCATGTTTCAAATGAAAGAAGGAAGTTATACTGTGACGGCTTTTTCTTATAAACTGCCACTTTGTGAAACATACTCACACACGGGTGTTTCCCCAAATACTTCAATCAGGACCTCTTCAAGTCGAGGGTTAATTGTCAGCTTTCCTCTTTATCCTTAATCTTTTCTTACTAGTATCTCTTCAATTCATATCACCATTTCATTCAATATTACCATTTTTACTGTAATGCCTCTATCTTGAGTGGTTCTCAAGTCTTCTATTGGGTATAATTTAATATTAAAAAAATATTGGTAAACTTGGACTTTCATGTCAAAAAATAAAAATTGTTTTTCCCTTGACACCACTGTTATTTTAAGTACCTTCACTCCTCAACAATGTTTATTGTTTTAAAAAGTGATCATTAAAATTTTAATAAAACCAAGTGAATTTATACATTTCATTTATTCTTGAGAATTTACAACAAAAATAAACACTTTATTAAATTGTCTATTGGAATGGTTGGCAAAACATCACCTAATTGCCAATTGATTCAAACTTTATAAAATGATAAATAAGGATTTCCTTATAGTTGGTTCATATATTTTAATGGTTTATATATATATATATATATATATATATATATATATATATATATATAAATATATTTATTGATTTTAATATATATGAAAACAATTTTTTATTCATAAATTTATAAAAATTTATGAATAAAAAATCATTTTCATATATATTTCTTTATAAATTGGTAAATGATAAATATTGCATTGCATTAGGTTTTTAGAATGTTGTAATTATAAAAATATTCTTGTGAATAAACAATCTAATAAATAGTATTTAATATTTTCGTTGTCAATTCTCAAAGACAAAAAAGGAAATGTATAATTCAATTTTATATGTTTAGGTTTTAATACAATTCTAATCATCTCTTTAAAACAAACATTGTTGAAGAGTGAAGGTAGTTAAACAAAAAAAACAAAACAGTGTCATAGGAAAAAAATGTCCTTTTGACACTCCATTTGTTTTTTTTTGTGGCCATGAAGGTCAAGTTTGCTAAAAAATTCATAACAAACCTAAACTCAAAATTACTTAGTATATTTACCAGCAGATTAAAAACAGGACAAATAATAATAATCCTACAAATATTAGAATGCATTTAATTTCCCAAGATCATGACAATATGGCTCAAAAACAAACAAAATTGGCCAGCATAAGTTAATTATAGTATTAGAACTTATTTTTATCCCGTAAATGACAAGTAATATTGGTCCTTAATCACCAATGTCTACAAACTTACTTTATTTTTCTCAGACAAATCAAATTGCATTGTTCTCATGTCAGAGTCGATCAATGTAGCAGCTTGTTGATTCTTCTGTTCCAACTGCTCCTCCAAGTCTTCTATTTTTGTTCGCAGCTTCTTGCTTTCTCTTTCCAAGGCCAATTTGTCCGTCTCTAGACGTTCTCGTTTTGCCCACTCAGAAGCATTTTCAGATTGTAATATTTCCAACTACAAAATAAAAAGAATGAAATCCCTTGAACAATAATTAACACTTTTGTTGTTGTGGATGAACATATATGTCTTCATGAAACTTATATTGCCTGCTGTTTTTTTTATATATATATATATATATACACTCCCAGAAATCTGGTTGAGCTCTCTAGGGAAAGGTTTTAAAAAAAAAAAAAACAGCAGCTTCTACTGCTATTAAGCATTACTCTTCAAGTATGAAGAGTTCTCCAAGCCACTGGCATATTTCATATAGAGAAAAACGTTAAAATTTCCTTCCTTTCTGCCGTGTGACAATGCCCTAGGGGTAAGACATCTGACTGATGTCAAATCAATCAGGTTTCAATCCCACCTTTAAGCAATCAGACATCTAGCCACACTGAGGAGCTGTGATACAGCAAAACTGTCTGTGGGTAGCTATATATATATATTTCAAGAAACTGTGAAATGTCAGTCATTTGTGTTAAAAACTAACTAGTATTATTCCCAAACTAGCATAGGCATATAATAGCATACAATGAAACCTGATTTATGACATTTTTATATTATGTGTTGGAAGTGGCATTCACTGTCATCTTTACTGCAGAGTATCTAATTAAATCCAAAATGGCAGTGCCCATGAGAAATTGCTGTCAGCATCTTTATAATCATTTATTTCCAGCAAGTGGCAATTTGCTATTTTTCCAAACATGCCAGTACAGCCAGGCAACAATGCAGCAGTGAAAGGGGTTAAAATTAAAACAATTACATCAGTCAAATCCCTGTATAAAAAAAAAAAAAAAAAAAAAAATGCTTAAAATTCAAAATTTAATCTTGCTTGATGTTCATAATTTGGAAGAAACTGTTTTTTTAAAAGGCTGATGACTGTATAAAGCAAAAATGATTCTTTATATTGTTCTTGAATGACATAAAACATATGCAGAGACTTAGTAACTGACCAGATTGCCCACTTCATTAATGGAAGGAGAAAATGATTGTCTACTTAGATTTCAGCCGATTGGAAAATCATTCATGCTCCTTTACCAATAGCATTAGTGAAATAAAAAAAAAAAAAAAAAAAAAAAAAAAATCTAAACATTGCCTTTATAATTACCATATATACTTGTGTATAAACCAATTTCATATATACTGTGACCCCTAAATCTTTTTACATTAATTTTAATCCCTCCAGAAAAAAATTTTCCTGTGTATAGTGCAAACCCCCTATTCTTTGTATAAAAATTGATTATAAAAACTCACTAGAACTTCTTTTTTTGTTGTTTTGTTTTTTCGTTTCCCCCAACCATAAAAAGGCTAAAATAACTGTCAATTTCATTCATGATGTGCCAGTAGCCTAGAGAAGTGGAGAGGATTAAAAAAAAAAATCTTACCTCTTTCCTCAGATCTGCCATTTTTTTATCTACACCCAGACGATTGTCTTGTTCATCTTCAAGTTCCAACAAGAGTCGAGATACTTCATCTTTATGCTCTACCTTTACACGGTCAAGCTGTTCAGAATTATAGATAAAAAAAAATTTTATTTAAAATTATTCAAATAAAATTATGTGCAAAATTCAACTGTTACACAATTTTAGAAAGACATTTCAAAATATTCTTAGGAATTTTATTTGCATCAAGTACAACATTATAGACTCCAACTCCTACATGATTGGTTCAGAACACCCACATAGAGGGGGATGATAAATGATTTTATCAGAGTTTGAAACACCTGATGTTTTTATGACCATCAGTAAAATCTATGAAGCAAGATCTTCAAAGTGGCCATGCACTGACCAAATAGAATAAATAAGTAAAAACTTTCAGGAATACATGCTACTTGACTGGAAGTTTAAAAGTTCTACTCAGTCTTATATAAATAGTCACAGTTAGAAATGAAGATTGTTCCAATTCTGTCTGTTGGTGGGATACAGTCTACCCATAGAGACTGCCTGTTAGGGAGTTTAAGCTGCTGTATGTAGTGTAGGAATGGCAGGACAGTAGAAGTTCCCACTGGCCAAAGGAAGATCTTATCCATTAGTCTGTCATGACAGAAGTAGCAGCGTTATCTACCTAACCCCCAGTCCACACAAGAGAATCCTTGAATAAACAACCAATTATATGGGGAAACAGGATTTATGCTGTTCATTCCTCACCGGGACATTTCCCCATTTTCATTCGTGAACGTACAAAAAGCCTTTCCTGGTTTTTGTGCACACTAACAAGAATCAAGACAACATGGAGTGATTTGCCCAGCCAGTGAGTGAAAAGCTGAGAGAGAGACCTGGGATAAGGTTACACAAAAACTAGTAATGGTTTAAGTAATCAGTAATTTTCAGTAGAATAAAAATATTCAAATTCTATGCTAAGAGATATTTAAAAAGAAAACAAAATCTATTATTTTTTTAGAACATTATCACACCAGCTATAGAAGTCCATAAGTTTTCAGTACATTGCGAAGCTACAAATGTGAGTAACCTCTTGTTATACTCTGCTTCACTGCTTGGATGTGGATGGTTGGTTGATTTTGTTTAGCAGCATATCAATTCCTATGGGTTATTTACTATCGAAATTTAAATAATCTGAATAATTTTATGACTTCAACTAAATATTTTTTAACGTAATTGTATAAAATGTATTGCCTTTTTTTTTATATATAAAAATGTATTGTTGGTATTTTTACTATTAAAATGTTTTTATGCTTTCATAGCATTTTATTTTTGTTGGGAGTTCACTATTTGCCCGTAGCTGAGATCCTAAGAGTTGCTACCACACAGGGTCAGAGTGGACCCAAGAACAACAGCAATTAAAAGATGGTTCCAGGCTCCTCAAAACCTCCAATCTCCTGATCAGAGGCCTTCATGCTGGATGTAGTTTATTGTTATATCTAAGACTTCAGTTGGATGTAAATGCTAAGAAAGCAAAACCAAAAATAAGTTGTTCTGTGTGCAAGGGCTCCAAGTACTGCATCTGGCCCACAAAACAAATCCTCTCAAAAAATATAAAATACAACATAAACAAAGCCAATCATGAACATGAAAAACATGAATAAAAAAGGAGTTTACGAGCCACCACACTTGCTTTAAAAAGGCCACTCATAAACTGCCAACAGATTCAGAGCAAATGGGTAGGCTTCAACTAATCCAACACCTGCTTCTCTCAACATCACCACCATGACAGTTGACCAACCTGACACACACAACTTCACCTTCCCTCCAAATCACTTCCCTAGCACACAAAGAGACATTCTGCTCATATTCTCTGTATCAGCAATAAATAGAATTTTATATTAACAATTCTTGTCTTTTCATTTTCACTTCACAGACAGTACTTGTTATTTTGGGTTGTTCTCTCATGCTACCATACATGCATCCATAACACTAGGATCAAACTCACTTCAACTGTAATGGTCTGTCGGATAAAACTGCAAACTATTGTGCTACAGAAAAGAGACAGTACTAATTAATAAATTGCAGAGACTATCTGGGTGGGGGAAATTTATTACTATGTCTGTTCCACCGTAAGTGACCAATTCCACTCAAGTGGATAATGTGAATCTGCTCATTTATTGTAGAACATAGATTTTAGACTTGTGAAATACTACCTAACATGGTTATTCAACTAGAAGTTCAAAAGAAATGTTCCCCTCTCCAACTATTCTACATTTATTTTCCTTCACAACATTTAAAACTAAAAATATTTATACACTAATAAATTTCTATTTTTTATCAACATTAAGCACCCATCAACCCACTGTAACTAAAAAGTTAATTGTAAAAATTAAGCTTAAATATTTGTTTTCAAAGTCTGGAGGAGTCTAGAAAAATCTGAACAAATCCAATTTGAATGACTTCAATTGAATCTTTTTTTGTTTTTATGAATCTCTGAAAAATCAATTAATCAGTTTTACTTACCTCTGCTAATAGATCCATTTTAGATTGCTTTATTTCTTCATATTTTGTTTTCAGTTGAGACAATTCTTCTTGTAACTGGTCAACTTGTTTGGATAATTTATGATTTTCTCTAGAAAGTTAAAAAAAAAAAATGAAATTAAGAATTAAAATTGTGTGTTGATAAACAAGCTTAGAAAGAGCAAATAAATTTTAATGAAAATAAGGCTTGCATTTTATTTTAAATATATTAAAATTAATATAAAGCACTTGTAATTTTTTTTTTATTCCTATACAATGTGTTCTCTAGTGTATGTTGGATGCAATGCTCATTGAATCTCAATTTTTTGGCCACTTTCATGGATGTTAACAATAATCGAAAAAATTACAGGTGAAACAAACATATGAAGGCCAAAGAACACATCAACCTAAACAGTGAATGTTAAAATCAACAAAGATACTTAGTAGAATGACAACAGCAGAACTTCAGACATTAAAAAAATAAAAACATGAAAAAACACAGAGAGTGCAAAACATGAAAAAACACAAAGAACACAGAAAATACAAAGAACAACAAAAATAAAAAAAACAAACAACAAAAATAAAAAAAGCAAAAAAAACAAATAACAAAAAAAAAATAAAAAAAACAAACAACAAAAAAAAAAAAAAAAAATAAAACAAAAATAAAAAAATAAACAAAAATAACAAAGAAACAAATAACAAAAATTAAAAAAAAAAAAAAAAAAAAAAAAAAACACAAAAAAAAAACCAAAAAAAAAAAAAAACCCAACTAACTTACTCATGTTGCATCTGGAGGCTTTTGTGAGATTCTTCTAACTTAAGCGTCACTAGAGAAAGGCTCTCTTCAAGTTTTGTGACATTTGAATCCAAATCCCTGGCACCAGATTTTGCCAATGTCGCAACAGGTGAGTCCACATGAAGCTCAAGCTTCCCATAATGGTTTTCAACAGAACCACTGCCACCATCAGCTGCTGCTGCCGCACCAAGTTCTTCTTGATCCGCATCATACTCAGTCTCTTCAACATTGTTATTATTAATATTGTTATTTACTGTATTGCCAGCAACATTGGGTGGAACGTCCTCTATGCTGTTTGCCTCACCCTGGGGACTAGCATCACTGTCAAGGTTTTCCTTTGACAGCCTCGGCTGGCTATTGAGTTCTTCAATCTTTTGCTTCAGTGTGTCAATCTCGTTGAGCAGCTCCTGCTTCTCACGTTTGTGCTCTGTGGCCTCCTTAACGAAAGCGTCCATTTTGTTACGCAGTGTTCGGTTTTCTTCAATGGCCTTGTTACGCTCGTTGCGTACTTTGCTCCATTTTTCTCGCCAGTTGGCTGTGCAGTCTGACCACCAACGCATTGTCTTCTCCATCTGCGCCGTTCGGGAGCGAGCCTCCTCAAGTTCTCGCAGGTGGATCTCCTCCCTCTCAAGCCACTCATAGTCGGTCATTTGATTAAATGATATTGGAGTGCTGCTAGCAGAACTCAGGCGTTCTCTTCCAGATGTAGGAGACATTGGTAGGGCAGGGGTGGCCCGGATGTTGGCTACATCTCCAGCTGATGAGTGTGTGGACGACAATGGAACCTTGTGTGCAGAGCTGCTAGACGATCTTTGGCTCATCGGGATGCAGCAGGCAGTTGGGTGGGGGGGAAGAATTGGGAGTCAAACAAAAAATAACAAAGAGAAGAAGAGAAAGAGGAGAAAAAAGTTTTTCTCTCTCCAGTCAGCAGTAGGTGAAGCATCACCTGGGGTCAGTGGCAAACATTTCTCTTTGATATGAAAACTGTACAGGATCTGAGTGACATTCACCTGTGAAAGACAAAAATGGAGAGAAACAGAATTTAGTTATAAAGAATGTGATTTATAATCTTAGCGGAAAAAAAAAATTTGACCATGTTACTCAGTTAAATAAAGTAAAAATATTTCATTTTAACTCATGAGAGTTGACTGAAAGATTCTCAGCCTAACAAGTACTCTAAACAAAATAAAATAATTTTTTTTTTTTTTTTGTCAAAAATGTAGTTTGGACAGAAAACATTTCAGTAGCCTTTCGTATGTGGTGGTGAGACAAACCTCACATGCTGCGCTGTTGGGAAGTGCCTGAAAACCAGTTGACCAAAGCTTTGTGAGTAAAAATTGGTAGACAACCATTTGATAAGCCATCAATGGCTGTGCTAGTATGAATTTACAAGTCATTGTGACAAAGGGTTAGAGTGTAATGACCTTATTCAAACTGTTAAAACATACCAGATTGTGTGGTCTCTCCCAGAAAGTGTAACTACAGTCCGCATAATTACAGTATAAACCACAGATTGGTTCTGTAGGTGTTGAAGAAACAAATATGCCTGAGTAAGCATCTGCAATAGAGATTTGTTAGCCACCTTAGAAGATGGGCATACTGTGAAACAAACAGAATATATATATATATATATATATATATATATATTCAACCGTATCACATTGAAACACTGGTTCCTATATGACCACCAAAGGAAGCCTGGTCAGTACCTAGATGGGTGACCACTTGGGAATACCAAGTGTTGTAAGCTTGGAAGTTCATGTGGTGTAATGGATAATGGCTCAGAATTGTTAATCAGAGAGCCAAGTTCCAATTCCACTTGGGTTCGTTATATTCACTTATGTGCAAATATCCTTGGAAAATGTATGAATCCACCGCTTCAGCTATGGGTTAATTAGTAAGACTTGTATCACTAAATCATTATCTGAAAAACAAAATTTTAAAAAATTCTTACAATTTTAAAAATATTTTCTGGTTTCTGGCTTTAAGTAACCTGCAAGGTGTTGATGAGCCATAAAAAGCAAATTAATAGGTTAATGGACTTGTGACAAGATGTTAATTCAGTACAAAACAAACTTTGTTCAAGAATGTTTTTCAGAGTTACTTTCATGTGCTAAATGTTTTATTTATTCTTGAATAAACTTTTCTATGAAAAATGATTCATTTTCTTTTTGGATGAGATCCAACTTAAAAACTGCTGTTGTCAGAGTTTTTTTGTTTTTTTTAAATCTACCAGAAAACTGCTCCAAATATATGTAGCTTGGATCTTATCTGCATTTATAAATATGTTCTCAGCAGAAAACATTTCTCCCGTGAGAAAGATGTCAGTTGATAACATGTATTTGTTTTAAAGTTGAAAATTTGAAAGAAAAACAAAAATCTACTTGGTATGAATAAATCTGAATAAACAGACAATCTTTGATCAGGTAGTGTTTTTTAAGAAAGATAATGCCTTTAAAATAGGCCAATTCTGATTACTTATGTTAAAAAAAAAAAAAAAAAAAAAAAAAATTATATATATCAAAACCTAATTGGTATATTTGAAATGATATGTGTTTGCACAATTTTGAGAGATTTAACACAGTGTACCAAGTTTAAGATCTTTTTGTTGACTTTTCTTGTGGTCCATAGTTTTAAGTCATTAAAGAGGAAACTTTATTATTTATTTTTATTAACTCTTTGCATTAGCTACATCCATCAACAAGGCCTCTGATCAAGAGACTGGAGGTTTTGAGGAGCATGAAACCACCTCTTAATTGCTGTTGTTCTCAGGTCCACTCTAACCCAGGGTGGTAGCACCTGTTAGGGTCCCAGCTATGGGCAAATAGTGAACTCCCTCCCCCCCAAAAAAACACTATGAAAATTTAAAAATACATTTTTATAGTAAAAATATCACCAAAATATTTTTATATAAAAAAATTGCCAACAATACTTATTCAGGGTAGAATGACTAACAATACATTTTATCTGTAGTTGCAATCATAAAATTATGTTCAAAATATTTAAATTTTGGCATTTAATGACACAGATTTTGATATGCCACTAAACAAAATCAACTGACATGAAAGAATTCTTTCATGACATTAATCCATATAATATCCTACAATTTCTTAAAGAAATTGAACTATTCTAAAATATAACTTCAACAAAACTACAACATAAAACACACCTATCACTGCCTCTAATAATCATGTCTACACCAACAAGTTTTTTTTCATAGTGTATGTGTACACACACACACACACACTATATATATATATATATATATATATATAAGGTTGGTGCAAAAATAATGACGTAATAATGTTGCTTTTTGACGTTAAAAAATACGTCAAAAAATGACATTATTATTGCACCAACCTAATATATATAATGTTGTGGTTATTTGTCCTTTTCATTGTTTTTTCACTTTACACTCGCTCACTCTTTGATTTTTTAGCTTTTGTCTCTTTTTCCTCTTTTCTTTCAATTGCAGCCATTTTGACTTCTGGTTTTTGAGACATTGCTAAGGATAAGGAGCAAATGGCAAAATATTTTATTGATTGTTCATTATCCTATCATTCTGTTGGCTTCTAATCTATATTTAATCCAAATTCATGATATCAAAGATAGTATGAAGCCAAAAATGCTGTCAGTCAGTGGGATACTGAGAGAAAAGACATTCAAGGTAAGCAGTCTTTGCAAGAAAGTGCTCGATATTAAAGATATATTAATTCTATTAATGCTCTAAGTTAAAGATTTGTCACTTAGCTCGCTGATATTACCTTCAGCATCCTGACTCCAGAGTTTTGTAAACAGACCCGTCCATCCACAAAACACTGGAATTGGAATGCTGAAGGTAATATCAATCAACTAAGTAACAAACCTTTTACTTTATATATATATATATATATATATATATATATATATATATATATATATATATACCCCATTTTCACTCACAGGGCTTGGGTCAACCTGTGGTAGGCACTTCCCAAATGTGCCCTCATTAAGAAGTCATCTTTCTGACAAATCAACTATGGTGAGATTCATATATAGGTCTCATGGTCAGAATGCAAACATTCTAAATACTCAGCCATGTACCTATAAGAAGTTTTTTGTTTTTTTTCTTGTAACGGCATTCACCCGGGGTGGGTTGAGCCAGCTCCTTTGGAGTTTCATGGGAATTTGGAATTCACAAGCGGTCCCCAAACCCGCATGTATAGCACAAAAGATTTGATTATAGTGATGAAGGTTTCATGCAGGACCATCCACACTTTTTAAAGGGCCGATTACAGAGACCTGGTGCACTAGTTGCCACAAGGTCCCCAAACGACCCTCCACAGGTTTTGAATTCAGAGTTTTCCTTCTCCTAGACCAGTTGCCATCCAAGGCTATAGAACCCAGTCTGTCCTGCTATTTACCCATAGCTGGAGGGAGAAGAAGAGGATTCACACCTTTCCTAAGGGTATTAGCACGTAAGTGAATGTAATGGATTCCACTGGAATTCGAACTCAGCTCTCCGATTCCTCGATCCAAGCCGCTATCCATTACTCCACCGTGCCTCTTCACCTATAAGAAGAGCTAAATAACATCAAAACCAAACTGTAAAGATTTTTCAACAAGATTTCAACTTACTTTTTTTTTCATCAGCAAAAAGGAACAGCCCAACATGCAAATTACAAATTGGAGATACCAAAATCAAACAACAATTTAAAGATGGAAAGTGTGATACCAAAATCCAAAGGTGCATTAGGACAACAAAAATGCCTTCCAAAAGCTAAACAGAGTATTAAGAAACAGAAAAACTTTATTAGAAACAAAGAAAAGAATACTATTATGTAATATCAGTCCTTCTATATGGCAGTGGTTACTGGACAATTTTCTCACAGATGAAGAAAAGATTTGAGTCAATAGAAATGTGGTTCTACAGAAGGATGCTGAGAATACCATGAACTGAACATATGAGCAATGACAAAGTTTTATAGAAAATAGAAAAAAAAAAAACATGGATACATACTTAACATCAGAAAGAGTTGAAATTTCTAGGGCACATAATGAGGAAAGACGGCTTAGAAAATTTGACACTCACAGGACATATTGAAGGTAAGAGGGACAGAGAAAAACAACGCATAACCTACCTAACAAGTTTGTGTAAATGGATGGCAGAATAGGGTTTAGGAGAATTGGGAAAAAAAACCAATTTGTTAAGAACTACAAAGGACAGGAAATTGTGGAGAGCCATGATCGCAAACATCCTGAAGGGACAAAGCACATAGAAGACAGCATCTTCTGAGGTGCCAAGTATAAAGAAAATTTAAATTTTTATAGCAGTTTTGCTCACTAATCAATAATCTATAAAAATTCAATGACAAATTTTTTTAATCTTTTCACCTCAAGCTAGTCAATAAAAGCCACTAGGATACAAGGGGTTACTGAGAGTTAAAGAAACTGAGGACAATAAAAGAATAGGATTCAAGGAGACAGAAAATGACAATTGACATTGCATTTAAGCTTTTGGAGATCATACTTGACATGAAAGCAAGAAGCTGGGAGAGAGTTCCACAAGCAAGAAGTGCAGAATAAACTATTAGCACAAAACTTATGATTACAACTAATAATTTCAGCAGTGAAATTATGAGACCTAGCTGCCAATTTAGTACTGCAATTAAATTTCTGAAGATGAGGTACATCAGAACAATTATGATGGAAATATTTTTAGAAAAAGCACAGGGAAATGTTACAGAAGGGCAGGTTGATTTTTCACCTTTTTTTTTTTTTTTTTTTTTTTTTTTTTTTTAAATCAACATTGCACTCAATGTGAAAGTGGGGATTTGATATA